AATAGAATAGAATAGAATAGAATAGAATAGAATAGAATAGAATAGAATAGAATAGAATAGAATAGAATAGAATAGAATAGAATAGAATAGAATAGACAATAGAATATCTTTTTTTTAGGATACTGGCAGCATGTGCAAAGCATATGAGACAAAGTTTCAAAATCCTTGCCTTCAAGAAACAAGTTGGTTTCACCCTCTCTTGGACAGACTTATGTGATCTCTTTGAAGTCCATAGTGTCTTCAGTACTTTTTTCCTAGCACCATAGATAGCTCAAAGAAATCGACTGTTCTTCCATCATCTTTTTTTTTCTTGTCCAGCTCTCAGCTTGCATAGCAGGAAAATTATGCTACCAAGCCAAAAGTGGGTGATTTCAATCTGTGGTCCTCAGGCCTGGTTTAAATTGCTTTTTGTCAAACATTTTTCTAAGTGGTATAGCCCTGGTCTGTGCATTGCTGTACAGAGGAAACTCATGGTTGCTGTGATGCTGAACACTGGGACACTGACATGACCAATGCGATAATTGTTACACAGGGTGGACAATGTTTGGTGGAGCTTCCCTATTAAAGCAAGCTTGGAAGCAGGAGTGGCATCCACTTCTGAAATAGATTGCCTCCAGAAACCCTATGGATGTGGAAAAAGGATGAAAGTTACACACGTGTTCAGGTCTTTCGTTCATAGGGTCGCCATGAGTCATTTACAACTCGATGGCACTGAACATCTACAATTACAACATGGCTTGGATTTGGTACATTAGTCTTTAGACTGACATTGTTGCTCTTTAGCACTTTATAGAGGCTTTGCTAGCTGATTTTTCCAATGCAATTTGTCTTTGATTTCCTGACTGTAATGGGGGTGGTTGTGTCAGAGACAATAAGATTGGCACAGGATAGAGCAGAGGTTAGGGCTGTTGTACATAGGGCTGCTATGAATCACAGGTAATTCAACGGCACTAACTACAACAGTGCTGAGGATGTTGAATTTGTATCTGGACAAGATGAAATTTTAACAACTTGAATCTCATCTCTGTCTGTCATGATGCTGCCTATTGGCTTGGAGGTGAGAATCTGTATTTTCTTGATGTTGAGGTAAAATCTGTGTTGAAGGCTGCAGTCTGATCTTCTGCATCAAGCACTTCAAGTCATCTTCACTGTCGATGAGCAAGTGTGTGTCATCTTCATAGCTCAGTATGCTGATGAGTTTTCCTCCAATCCTGATGGTACATTCTGCTTCATAAAGTGTAGCCTTTCAAGTGATCTGTACAGCCTAGAGATTAAAAAGGTATGGAGAAAGGATAGATTCCTGATGCACTATTTTCTTGATTTTTAACTTGCTCTGTTTGGAAAACACCTTCTTGGTCTAGATATAAGTTTCACATGAGTACAATCAAGTGTTCTGGGGTTCCCATTCTTCTCTATGTTAGCCACAATTTATGGTCTCGACAAGCCATTTGAACTCATTAGCCACTAGAGAAAAAGATGAGGCAGTCTACTTCCGTTAGATTTAGCCTGGGAAACCATGTAGTGTTCTATTCGCTCCTCAAAGGTCAGTAGGATTCTGAATAGAATTAACAGCAAAGGGAGTGGGTGTTTAGTTTTTAATTCTTTGAAAACCTCATTGTAAGATAGCTTCTAATTGATCTTATCTTTTTCTTCCCCACAGACAATGGGATTGTGCTAAAAGTCATCACAATTTACAACCAAGAAACAGAATCAATGGAAGAAGTAATTTTAGAAGAACTTCAGATATTCAAGGTATTTTTAGTTTTAAAAAAGAAATACATATTTTTCAGAAAACTAAGAAAAATGTGTGTAGGAAAGACATATTTCTACCATTTTCCCAACTTGAGTGGTCTCAATTCATAAGATACAGAAGTAAGAATTATTTAAAATCTTGCTGTGTTTTGGTTTTTAAAAAACTATGATTATCATCATCTCAACAAGTTAAATTAGAATTGACTTATAGCTGACCCTCCATGAGATTCTCAAGGCAGTAATTACACTGGTGGAGATGCCTCTTTTACTTTCCTAACGCCACTGCCAAATTCAGACCATCAAAGAGGCTCGGCCTAAGGGGATAATATTTTCTTAGCATGAAAAGAATTTCAATGTATAAACTGATTATTTTTAAAAGTAACATCTATGACAACATTTAAATCTGGAATCATTGTTTGATCTTGTACAAATATACTATCAGTACAGGAAATTTAAAAATATATTATCTTCATATTGTGTCTAAGGGGGTGGAAATTACACACACACACACACACACACTGGGTTTTTTTTGTTGTAGCATTTCAGTTACTTATAGAGTTTATTAGAACTGAGGAAAGAAAATTATAACAGAAAGATTATTGACTTGCCAAATTCATAGGGACCATCAATGGATCTGAAACCCTGCCTCATCCTGAGTCATCCTCATCATCGCTGACACACTCAGCCCTACTATTTCAGTCACTGTGTTAGTCCATTTCCTAAAGGATCTTCCCCTCCTTCACTGATCCTTCACCTTTCCAAGCATGATGTCCTTTTCAAAAGACTGACCCCTCCTAATGACATGCCCAAAATATGTTGAAGTTTCATCATTTTTGCCTCCAAGGAACACTCTGGTTGCACCTATTCAAAGACTTTTGTTTTTATTTTGATCCTTTTGGCATTCCATGGGATATTCAGCCCTCTTCTCCAACATTATAACTCAAAGGAGTCAATGATTCTTCTGTCATTCTTATTCATCTCAGATGCATAGCAAATAATTGAAGAAAAAAAAAATCACGATTTAGATCAGACACATCTTAGTATTCAAACTGGCATCTTTGATCTTCAGCATTTAGAGACATCCCTGACAGCAGACTTGACCAATGCAATACTTCTTTTGATCTCCTGGTGTCAAGAGTGTTGATTGTGGATCCAAACAATATGAAATCTTTGACAATTTCTGTCTCTTCTCAATATATCAGCATCTTGCCTGTTGGCCTGATGTCAAGGATTTTTGTTTTCATGATATTGATTGTAACCCATATTGAAAGTCGTAGTCTCTGATCTTCTGTAACTAATGTTTCAAGTCCTCCTCACTTTAAGCAGGCATGGATTATGTCATTTGCGTAATGCAGGCTATTGATAAGTCTTTCTCTGATTCTGATGACACATTCTTCTTCATGTATGTAGTCCAGTATTTTGAATGATTTGTTCTGCAGACAAATTGAATAGGTATGGAGAAAGGATACAGCCTGACACACACTTTTGCCATGCAGTGATTCCTTTCTTTGTTTACTAAAGCTTCTTGGTTTAAATATAGGTTTTGCATGAGCACAATTAAGTGTTCTGGGATTCCTATTTTCCCATTGTCAGTCATATTTTCTTGTGGTCCACACAGTCAAATTTTGTATAGTCAGCTTTTGGATAGTCAATAAAATACAAATAGACATCTCTTTGGTGTTCTGTGCTTTCAGCCAGGTCCACTTGATATAGCAACCATATCCCTCATGCCATAGCATCTTCTAAATTGAGCCTGATTTTCTGGCATTCTCCGTCAATGAGAGACTACTCATCAACATTTAAAATAATCTTCAGCAGTATTTACTTGCTTATGATATTAATTATACTGCAGTAATATCCACATTTTGTTGGGTCAACTTTTTTGGGTATGGAAACAATATGAAAGGTTACTGTTGTTGTTGTTAGGTGTCATTGAGTTGAGTACAACTCATAGCAACCTTATGTATAACAGATCTAAACCCTGGCCTGGCCTGTGCCATTCTTACAATCCCTGATATAGTCAAGCCTATTCCTGCATCACTGTCAATCCACCTGGTTGAGGGTCTTCCTCTCCTTCACCATCCCTCACCATTCCAAGCATAAAGTACCTCTCTAAGAAAGAGCCTCTCCTAGAAGCATGCCCAAATTATATGAGCATTATCACGTTTGTCTCCAAAAAGCGATCTAGGGGTAGAGAAGCTGTGGTATATTCGCACAGTGGAATACTATGCTGCATTGAAAAACAAGGAACTCATGCAATATTATTCAAAATGGGTGACCCTGGAGGACATTATGCTGAGTGAGGTATCTCAGTCACAAAGGGACAAATGCTATATGGTGCCACTGTTGTAGAATGAGGCTGGCATTGGGGTGGGGGTAAGACTGAGAAAAACTGGATGAAATATGTTTACAGCATTGAAGTCTATGGGGGAGAGAATAGTCTAAAAGTATTATATTTTAAGGGCATTATTTTTATCGTAGGAGTACGCAATGAGGGTTGCAGAGTGGATTGTATTTGGGGGTAGGGGGTGGGGTTTGGGGAGGTGCGGGGGGATTGTGTACCAATGAGGGAGTTTTTCTTTTGCTTTTCAAGGAGAGGAGCAAAGGGGGGGAGGAGGGAGAGGTTTGTGCGGGGAGAAGGGTGCGAATGGAATTCCAAAATCTCTGTAGATGTTCATTGAAATGAAAAATAAACAAACTCAATTAAAATTTAAAAAAAAAGCAATCTAGCTACACCTTCTCCAAGATGTATCTATTTGTTCTTTTGGCAGTCCATTATTTTTTCCATCAAAGGCATTAATCTTTCTTCTTTTATGCTTATTCATTGTCCAGCTGTGACATGTATAGCATCTGAAAGACTAGATCTAGAAAAGTATATATAACACGTATCCCATCAGAGCTTTTTTATAAGATAGAATGCAGTGCTTACTTTACCACCTAGTCTAGAGTGAATAGTGCTGCAAAACCCAAGTTTGAGCTTATCTCACCATTCAACATGGTCAGTCCCTCCTCAAGAGAAAAGGCACAATCTCTTCTTGTGTGATTTATAGCCTAGATAACCCGATGGAGACTCAACAATGAGATGGTTCCAACTTGACAACAATTAGTGAGTGAGACATACATATTTTCACATTGATTCAGAGACCATGGAGATCACAAATTTCCCTGAAACTATCTTCATTTTCTAACTAGAACACCTATGCTTTTATGTATTTGTATATTAAATCTCAACAATAATTAATTTTACATTAGATATCATAACACTTCATATAAACCCTTAAAAAACATAGTTGCATGTACATAGAGATGAGTGAAATAATACTTAAAAAGAATTCTGCATTTTAAATATAACACTGGCATAACAGGATAAAATGTTTTCTCTTTTAGAAAAGAACTCTTCAAAGGATAATTGATGTAGTAGAATCTAGCCTCTTCCCTCTTGAAGAACTGGTTTGAGTTTACTGTGCTCTTTAGAGACACTCGGTGTTTAATAAACATGCTGAGCTTTACCTTGGTTTTCAAAGCCAATATATAGATTGTCCTTCTCCTAGGACAAATCTAAGATAGATTTATCTCTTTATTCAAAGGCTCCTGGGTTCATAGTGATTGACCACAATCACTCCAATAGAAAGAAATTTTTGTTTAGGCTTGTGCTAAAATGATTCATTAATATATAATTTATTAGAAACTTTTCTAAGATTGAACTGTTTTATATCCGATGGAATGATTACTTCTTAAGAAAGAATATATTACTATTTTAACTGAAAGTACCTGAGGCTTAAAAAAATACATAATCATCAATAAACACAAAAAGTGCATGCTAGAGATGAATGGGAAGCCATCTACTGCATTTCACATCAACACAGCTGTTCTGTTTCATTAATAAATTTAAAAGTAGTTATAATTTAATTCAAATCATTTGCATTCTTATTTACTAAAATAAAAGCTCTGGTTGGCACTCAGGTGACTTATTACTGTATTTAGTTGATGTTCTTATTAGCTGAAGCTCTATTATTGAAAAGAAAAACTTTTTTTCCCCCCAGGATCCAGTGCCCATTATCTCTATGGAGATTTCTTCAAAAAGAGTAAGTTTTGAATGTGTATGCATATGCATA